ATTATGCTTCAGAAGAATGGAGACTGATGAGAATTAGGCTTGGGGTGGATTAATGATTGTGCATTGAGCATTGACTCCCCTATACAGAATTTTATTGTTTTTAACAACCATTTGATCAATAAATATGAGAGATGCCCTCTAAAAAAAAAAAACAAACAAACGAAGAAAAAATTCTCAATCATAGTATAAGTTGGTCACAGGGATGGAAGTGCAGCATGGAGAATACAATGATCCTGTAATATCTTTCTATGTTTATAGATACTAACTGTACTAATTGGGGTCAGGATCTAATAATGTGGGTAACTGTTGAATCACTGCATTGTATACCTGAAACCAATATAATAATTGTATATTGACACTTTAATAAAATGTTTTTTAAAAAAAAGATGTTAAAAAGTATAAGACCAACAAAATAAAAGTTTAAGTTGTCTTGGTCCTGAGAGCATCACACAGGAGGTCCTCTGACACACCACCCAGACAGCCCTGCTTCTCAGCTAATGCCTCCTTCAGACGGCCGCACAGCACCGCGGGAAGAATGTGGAGTCTGTGGTAGCCCTGAGCATCAGTGGGCCTGGGGAGAGGGTCTGGTCAGCTCCAGTGACACCGGGTCAGCTAGCCTGTCCTCTGTGGGCTGTCTTGAAAATATGTCCAAGATACGGTGTTGGGGCAGGAGGTTGCAAAACAGAAAAAGCAAGATCACCTTTGTATAAGAATTTAAAAAGGAGACTATACATGCAGGTATATGGGTAGAGAAATGTTCTGCAAAGCAAACCAGAGAATTTTAACAGGGAGGTGCTGTGGGTGCTGTTGCAAACCCCCAGGGTCAATGGGCGCTAAGGATGGGGGTGTGGCATGGAGGCAGCTGTCAGAAATCCAGGGTAGCATCCTCGTCAACCCACCCCCAGCCTAGCTGGAGTCCCGCGGGTGGGTCTTTAGTTTTGTAAAGAAGACATGGGTGGTGGGTGGGAGTTGTAGTCAGGGGTCCATGGGGATGGAAAGTACTGGAATGTCTGGATTCTCCACCCAAGCTGTGTCTGAGGTCCTAGCAGCTTTGTAGGGTGTCAGGGGACTGTTCCTGAGCTTGGACACGAGCCTCCAGGGATGAGCAGGGCAACTAGGCTTCTGGGGAGGATTGGCTGGCAGTGGAGCAGGACTGGACAGGAGGAGGCGTTTGTCCATATCTGGGTGTAATGGGGCCGCTTTCAGATTACACGTGGGAGCTGTACCATGCAGGGTGGGGTGTCTGGATGTAGGTGTGTGCCTGAAGCTCACAGTGTCCCAGGGCCTCCTGCCCCAGCTGGTCTGCTGCCCCACTTGGCTGCCTGCACACCTCAATTACCTCTGACAATATGATATAGCATCTGCTCATTTTGGTGAAGACAATGGGGAATATCTGGAATCCAGGGTCAAGCCGGCTACCTACAATCGAGAGAATGCAAGACTCAAACATGACTTACCTCTGCGATTAACAGGGTCCTTAGCTACATAGGCAACGTAGTCTGTTGTGTCCTGTCAAAGAAAAATGGAGATATCCATGTCACAAATGACAAGTAAGAGCCAGTGCAGCCAGACACACAGTGCACAAAGCAGCCCAATCACCAAAGGCTGGCCAAACAGCCGCCCAGGAAGGCGGTGTCCCCCAAACCGCATGGGGGTAGGGGTCTTCAGAAATACAGGTTTTGACAGCTTAACCATGCCCCACTTTGAGCAGCCAGGGCGGGAAGACCACCTGTTCTCTGCAGGTTGGGTCACCTGAGAAGCTGTGAGTCTGAACCCCCAGATAATCTAACTGCGTGGGTGTGAGACATGGGCATGCGGAACGTTTAAAAGCTCCCAAGTGATTGTAAAGCTGGAGCGGCAGCCACAGGTGTTCCCAGGCCAGCTGGCTCGGAACCGCTGCAGGGCTGGGGGAAACACAGGTCACTAAGCCCCCACCCTTGGGGTTGTCAGTTTGGTGGGTCTGGGGTGAGGCCCCAAAATGTGCATTTCCAACAAGTTCCAGTGGCTGCTGCTGGGCTGGGGGCTGCACTTTAAGACTCACAGGTGGATGTTTAAACGGTCCCTCTTGTGTGGATGCGATATGATGACTCTTTTCTTCTTGGACCTAAGAAGTGATTTTAATCCTTTTAAGATATTTCAAAAATATGAGCTCTATATTTTTGAAGAAGTCTCCTGTTACATGGGACTGCATGGCTGACGTCTACCTCCTCATCTCATCAGCACACAGAGGAAACCATGACCTCAGAAGGGGGCTGAGGCACCCAGGGGACTTAAAACCTCTGAACAGTCAGAGGAACCAATAATTCTCTTAATGTTTGAAAGCAGAAAAGACTTCCCTGCAGTGTTGACATTTTCAACACTCAAAAAAGTGTAAGGGGGTAGGGTAAGTGGTGAAGGTGTGCACCATCACCGCAGTCACTTCCTTCCTTACTGCTCCTCAGTGACTGATTAGCTCCTGCTGTTTGCAGCATCTGACAGTTTCTCCATCGTGAGTTCCTTCATTGCTCCCAATGGGCAGAGGAAACAGTCCCTGCTCTCTTAACAGCACTCCAGAAAAGCCCTCCCACGGGAGAGGGAGGGAGTGCATGGGTATGGATGGCATGCCATGGCTACTGAGCCCCTGCTGCAGGTGCGAGGTGCTTTCCACATGCCATTTCTCAGGACGCACACTGCCCTGCTAAGACTAGGGAGAAACCTGGGGCTGGGCAGGTATGTTCTCCAGTGTTTGAGATGTCACCAGAATCTCTTTGTAACTTTGTGTTTTCATTTCCATGGGAACCTTAATATAATACACAATCTCTGGGATCACCTAAATGATGACATGTCATCAGGTTCTACATGCAATTTGGGTGCCAAGATTTTCAGTTGGGTTTCCAGCATTACACATGCCAAATTTTAAAAGAACCAGAGAGAAAGGAAAAGCTAGACTGCATGACTTTGCCCCACCTCAAGCAAATGAGTGTCACATTTGTACACAAGGATGCGCGATGAACTGTTTCCTTGAATGGAAGAAATGAGTGGAAGGGCTGAGCCGCCAGCACCGGCGGCAGTGGCAGCGGGCGACTGCAAGAGTCTGCACATGGTGGCCAGTTCTGGAGTCACACTAGGAGTAGAAACTTTGTTTCAGCAAAACTTTATCCATCACAGCAAATTAATGTTACTTTGGATGTTGTCGGCTTTACTGTGTTTATCGGTATTAACTTCCAAGTTTGACTGGGGTTTATAGCTCAACAGAAAGTATAAGCCTAAGGAGTCTATACTTAACTTATTTTTGTATATATTTGGGACAAAATTAATTTGAATCAACACTAGTGGCACATCCAAGGAAAATCTTCTTTTTAAATTCTTACTCCAGTCTGAGAAACTCTGCTCTGGCTCAAAGCTGGAGGAGGAGGGCAGGAAAGGGCTGTAATGTGTCCCTGTCACTCAGAGGGCCCATGGCCAAGCCAGGACACTGCCCTTCTGATGCCGATATTGATCCTTGTCTGGCACAGGGGAGAGCATATTGTCATTCTACACATTGTTCTTGACGTCACGCAGTCACTGCGAATGCTCTTGTTTCCGGGGGGACTGCCAGTGCCTGCTCTGGATGTAGTCCAGTCCGTCCTCACTCCCCAGGACCTGAGCTGGACCCTTGTTCCTGCACGCTCTTGGTGGTCTTTTAACACTGCTAATAATAGTAGATTGCAATTACAGTGTGCCTTTTTGTTTGTTTGGAGGGATTAACAGTGTTATCCAGTCTGTCATAGTTGACATTTCAAAACACATTTCCTTGCCAGGTACACTGAGGCACAAAGCAATAAGTAGATTCCACACTGGCAGCAGCACAAGGAATAGAACTAGAATGGGCTGTATTTAAAACATCTACCAATTTCAATGATTACAAACTAGTCTGGAGTGGGAACTCATGCACAATGTGATATGCATTTGGATTGGTTGAAATGAGAAGTAACCATGCTCCTGTTTAGTGGCGTCATGACATTTTCTGTATCAGAAAAAATAAAAAAGGTTATGAATTACTTTAAGGGTCACAGAATTCTTCCTGTTTTGTTTTTTTTTTTTGTAATGAAGAAGTGATGGGGAAATTTGAAAACAGTTCACAGACTGTGTGCATCCTGGAGGATAAAATAATTTTAATGTAAGCTGGTATATTTAGCTTCTATTTTCTTGATCTCTGTGCATCCCCTTATTAACATCATCAGGGGAATGAGGTTTGAGACAGGGTCCTGCTAGGATCCGTAGACACAATTTTGCAATGTGTCTTCCTTTGATCTTTCAAGCTGGGTTACCTCCCAAATTTCAGAAACTATGGTTCTAAATACCTCATTGATTAGAAAGCCCTGCAGGTTCATCAGAGCCGGATGCAGATGCAGTAAAGGTGTAAGTGGGGCTAGGTGAGCAGGTGCGGTGCAAGTGCAGAGGTTGTATGCAAATGTTCAGATTAACCTTGCAAACACACCATGGATGGGCTTGATCGACTTCCTCTTCCTACATGTACATCTCAGGGAGGCCCTTCGTTTTACAATGAAACAAAAGAAACTAAAGGATTGGGAAGAAAGAGGGAAAGGAAGGAGGAAACCATCATGGGAGACTTTGGAAAACAACAAAGAACCACCTGCAGGATGGCCAAAACCCTATCCTGCAAGTGGTCTTTGGCCAAGGGTCTGGGATGAGACCCTGGGCCTTGCTGCAGAGCCATGCTGGACCATGTGGGACCGGGAGCCCAGCAACTGGTGGAGGGGAGGGAAAGGGAGGGCGGCTGGCTCTCCTGTGGCTTGGACGCTGGTGTCACCCACTGCCCTTGGGAAATGTCGAGACCAGAGCCAACAGTTGGCTGTCAATGTGCTGACAGCAGTTCTACAGTCAGGCCACCCAGGCAGAAGGTGCATGGGGCGTGAGGTTGGGAAGACAGGTAAACACAGGGCATGAGGAAGTCCCTTTTCGCCTATAAGTAGGCAATACCCTGGCTTGGGAGGGACCAGTGTAACCCATCAATGACTCGGGCTACCTTGGACAGTACCTTCTACATAAACGTGAGTGTTGCCTACTGATAATTGGCAAAAAAAATATAAGACAGTGACAATATTAACACAGTACCACTTATGTACCACCATTCCTTTATTAAAAAAGATGTTTAACAGCAGAAGGCAGTCTTCCCAGGAAATAGTACAATTTTTTAACTGAGTAAATCTAGCTCCAAGAAAAACTCACTCCATTGTTGTAATTTCTAAATGTTTCTTCAAGCTGGAGAAAACTTTACCCAGGCCAGTGAAGAGTCCCATGACAATAGGCTGAGGGACCCTTTTCTGCCCCTGGTGGCCTGCAAAGCTGACTGTGTTTCTGGCCCTGGCAGCTGACTTCCTGCCTGGTGTCTGCAGAGGGCCAGGCAGCAACAGGGAACAGCAGGCTGTCAGGGGGTGGCCCTGCTGGAGGAGGGGCCCTTTCCTAGTTCTGCCTCTGGTGATGCTGAGTGAACCCAGAGCTCATATACTGTGGCATTCCTGACCAAACTTGGGGGGCTCTTGTTATTCCACCTTCTTCATTAAGGAAATAGGACAAAAATAGAAATTCTAATTCTATTGTCTGTCTCTCCCTCTTTATCTCTGCAACGCCTTCCCTGTTGGCAAAGCAAAATGTTGAAAGAGTACAGAGTTAAATTTGGAGAGAAAAACACCAATTTCAAATATGCATGAATAAACCAGCCTAATTCACAGCCTTCGAGTAACTTCAAGTGCAAAAGCAGAGGGTGCAAGTGGGTGCCCAACAGCAGAAGGGACAGGCTGCACTTGCAGAGCCACGAAGTGAGAGCACCCTGGCAGCCCAGGAACCATGGCATCACCTCCTGAGAAGGCTGAGCCTTCAGGGATTTTTTTTTTTTGGTATCATTACTCTACAATTACATGAGGAACATTATGTTCACTAGACTCCCCCCATCACCAAGTCCCCCCCACATACTCCATTACAGTCACTGTCCATCAGCATAGTAAGATGCTGTAGAATCACTCCTTGTCTTCTCTGTGTTGCACAGACCTCCCCGTGCCCCCCCCAACATTATACATGCTAATCGTAATGCCCCCTTTCTTTCTCCCCGCCCTTATCCCT